GATAATCTATACTTTTGTTAACAACAAAGTTAAACGTAGAAAAAGTTCTTACAGTGAAACTCTAAGTCAGGGGTCCCCAAACTTTTTCCTGCGAGGGCCACATAGCTGTTCCTTTCTGTGGTCGGGGGCCGGTCTTAGTTTTTGCAGTAAAAAAAAACAAAGAAATTCTTGTCGACGGGGGGTGTGGGGGAGAGACGACGACACTTTTGGATAGATTTTTACCCAGAATGCAAATGGAAAAAACCGTGAGTGAAACGGTGACTGACGAGTATATATTCCATTGAGGGAAAGTAAGTTTCACAATTGTTCAAAAGCCCCCTGGTGGTTGAAGAAAAATCCACATATAAACCGGAAAATACAATATATGAAAAAAAACACTGAATGCTCTCTGGTATGAGCAGGCGGGCCGTATCCGGCATTGTTCAGGGGGCCGGACCAAATGACGTGGCGGGCCGGATCCGGCCCGCGGGCCGTAGTTTGGGGACCCCTGCTCTAAGGAGTGGGGAAGCAAGAATAACAACACCAGAGACCGATGCTTTATATGGAAAAAGCCAGCAATTTACTAAAAACACACACATAAAATACAATACATGAAACCCCTCAAAAAAAAAGAAAAGTAGATCACTCCTTCTTTTTACTCTTTAGTTCACCTGGTTTATTTTAGTAAAACTAATCTAGTTTAATTAGACCAGTCTCTTTTCTCCTAGGTTATTTTAGCCGGACTAATTTAAGTTAGTTAGACCAGTCTAGGTTACACCTATTTTAGTACTCCTATTTTTTCTTCCTGAGTTAACTCGTTTTCTTGTCTTTCACAGGTAAGGAAATACCTTCAAACACAATTAAATCAAAGTGGACCACAATTATTCAAATCACATTCAGAGATATAACATGAAAATCAAAGTAGGGCACTTTAAATTCAAGTTCAAGTCCAAATGTGAGTTCAGGTGCTCAGTTCAATGAAAAGCTTCAGTTTGATTCAGTCCAAAAATAATAATAACTCAATCAGTTCTTAATCCTGTTCAGTTCAGTTTGAACTAGTTCCTGATATTCCTACCGCTCCGGCAGCGAATTACCCCACGCAGGAGAGTCCCTCCCTGATACGATGGAGATGAGTTGAAGGTCTTGGTCTGGCTCGCCATCTTGAATCCCGTCTGTAAATGTGCACGTCGCACATGGCAGACCAATCCTCGCTCCGTCTGAGATTCCAACCGAACAAAAAAACCTGACCTGTGTAACAGGTCTCAAACACGACAGAACTCTTTTTAAATCATTAAATTATAAAAATAAATTCTTCTTCAGAAACCCAATATATTAACCGGATAACAGTTTATGACGGAGCATTTCTTTGCAACAGCTACGATTTTAGCGTTAGCTCTCCGCCAAAAGGAAAAGTACAACACGGTGAAAAATGTAAAAAAATAAACACAAAACTCACCAAAACCGATGTAACTTAGTTCTCATAAAATCCCCGTCAGTTTCCGACCAGGTAAATTATGTTTTCTCAACTATAATATTAACTTTTCTGTTAATTAATCACCGCTCTTTTCCTCCGATTCCTCCTCTGCTCTCTCCCTCAGGTTTGTGCACTGCAGCGTCACCCAGGCGCCGCGTCTGTGACGCTGGTTTCTTAAAGAAACAGCGATGGTATTTTCTGTTCACAGACTTTAATCAGCTATTTATTCCTATTTATGTCAGATTTTAACATGGGCAACTATTTATTCCTATTTA